TCTCTCTCTCTCTCTCTCTCTCTCTCTCTCTCTCTCTCTGTGTGTGTGTCTGTGTGTGTGTGTGTGAGTCCGGAGATGAGTCGAAAAAGTCCTAGTCTGAGGGCCATGCGCCTCTGTGAAACCCAGTTTTTTAAAGGTCTTTTTCCCCCCTCTCCCCCCTCAATGCTTATTATGTCCAGCAGTCCACGGTTAACTGATATAATGATTGACAAAGAAAAAGCACGACATATCATCGTGTCCTCTCCTCTGCGATCCCCTGCCTTTCCTAATCGTTAGCGTGGACATCATCGTTACTCTCGTTCCGCGTCTTCTACCTCAAGTTGTGCACCTGCTTTTCTACTGGTTGCCGTGGAAAAGAAGGGCGTCGATTTACAGTGTGTAGAAGAAAGAAGGTAGGCGAGATTGGAAGCGAGCGTAAAGCGGGAGCCCCCGGAGAGAGGGACAGCGAAGAAGAGGAGGAAGACGACTGGGAGGAAGAGGAGGAGGAGGAGGAGAAGGGAGACGAGGAGGAGGACTGCGACGACGCGGAGGAGGAATAATCATTAAGATGATAAATGATAAAGAAATGGCATTGGCCTCCTCTCACCTTCGTGTACCCCCCCTTCCCTTACCTCCCTCCTTATCTCATGTGATGGCGATACCCTCCCCTTCCCTCATCATCCTAAACGTGGGCAGCATCGGTAGTGTCGTTCCGCGTCCTCCTTTTTTTTTTTTTTTTTTTTTTTTTTTGCGTATTGCCGTAGGTTAAGAGGGAGAAGATTTAGATAAGAGAAAGATAACGTGTTTTTTTTTTTTTTTTTTTTTTTTTTTTTTTTTTTTTCGCGTAGTGCCGTAGTAGATAAAGAGGGCGAAGATTTAGATAAGAGAAAGAAGACGGGCGAAGAAGCGTAAAGTGGGATCGCCGGAGAGAAGAGGATGTCGAAGAAGAAGAGGAAGACGACTGGGAAGAGGAAGAGGATAAGGAAGACAAGGAGGAAGAGGAGGAGGAAGAGGACGAGAAAGAGGAGGAGGGAGATAAGGAGGAGGAGGAGGGAGATCAGGAGGAGGAGGAGGAAGAGGATGGGGAGGAGGGAAGTCGAGGAGGAGAGGAGGAAGACGACTACGGTAGTAGGAGGATGAAGACGAGTAGAAAAAGAAGGAGAGGGAAGCGGTTTTTTTTTTTGCAACGTCCTCTCTCTCCAACGACAGTGTCTCTCTCTGTGAATGAATCTCGGTCGTTCGCTGTCGGGAGGCTCGGGGAAGGGRGGGGGGGGGGGGGGGGGGGGKGTATWTTGCATTTGAGATTGTGGCGATGAAATCGATGAAGAAAACACATCCCTATTCTGATACATCTTCTTGGGTCTTGATGGGTTTTTAAGACATGTCGTGAAGTTGGCACCAATCACGGGGGCTGCAGAAATCGGGCGAAGCATCAGCCTCTGCTGGATGCCGGATTAGACCCTGGCAAAAATTAGCACCCCCTCATCACCAATAATAGCACCCCCTCCTCATCACTATGCTCATTATCCCCATCGTTACCATCATCGTCATCATCATGATCGTTGATCAGCATCACTGTCATCAAACACACACACACACACACACACACAACCACACACACACACACACAGACACACACACACACACACACACACACACAGACACACACACAGCACACACACAACCTGATGATCCGTGAAAGTCCGACGAAACAGTCTGGCGCAGTCATGCTTTTTTTTCTTTCCTTTCAAAAAGGCTAAGCTATAAGCTATATTATTCTGCTCTCAAAACCACCTCCACTACCTACCTACCGCTGCTACGCAGCCTATACAGGGTATACAGGGGAGAGGTGGACATGCTTTTTTGGTGCAGTTGTGTACAGCAAACATGACGTCACACGCACACAAACAGGAACGAGACAGAGGTTCGACGGATCTCATCTGTAAGCAGCACAGTGAGACGTCCCCATTGCGATCCGGACTATCCTTCCCACCCTCATTGCGATCCGGACCTATCGTCCCCATTGCGATTCACGAGACGGTGACTCGTTCGCAGAAGCGCAGAGATCCGCCTTCAATTGCGATACCGTCCTGCCAAGAACCCAGAGGCATGATAAGCTACACACACACACACACACACACACACAGAGAGAGAGAGAGAGAGAGAGAGAGAGAGAGAGAGAGAGAGAGAGAGAGAGAGAGAGAGAGAGAGAAGTTTTTCGTCTATATCCCGCCAGTCGGGATTCAAAGAGATGGGGTGTTTGAAAAGTGTCGGGATACTTTGTCTAAGGGGACATGAGGAACCGACGAGCAGTCGGAATAGACAAAAGGGTTATTCCGACTTTTGTCTATGCTGAAAACCCATCTGAGCTCCTTGCACAGAAAGGAGAAGAAAAAAAGACCAGTTAACATAAAAAGAGAGGAAAACAGAAGAGTTGTGAGAATGCCCAAAGAGCAGACTGCCACCAGTGGCCAAGAGGAGGGAAAGCAGGCACACTTGCGTGTGTCATTGGCTTTCATCGGTTGCCCGCCAAGAACATAAACCATCCCCCCCCCC